CTGTGTGCTAGGCATCAGGCTAGGAACCGTGAAGGATGCAGGGATGAAAGGCAGAGTCCCTGCCCTCATCAAGCTTGGGTTGTCAGGGAGAAAAACACATGAGAGATGGTTGTATATAAGAAAGGGGACAATACATTTTTAAAGAGAGTAACAGCAGCTCTATAGAGGGGATGATTAAGTCAGGTTAGAAAGGTATTGGGGGTGAGGGAGGTAGGCCTTAGAGCTGAGATGGGCTCACAGGTTGAAGAAACGAATGAGACAGCGTGTATAGAGGTACAGCCATGGGGAACAAAGGCTGTGGGAGGACGCTGGTGGTGATGCTGCCAGTAGATTGGGGGGGTGGGGGTGGGGGAACAACAGCAGATAAACCAGGAATACAAACGGTCAGGATGATAGGAGCCCTTAATTTCTTCGTTCAATAAAACAGATGCAAGGGCTGTGAGGGTTTGCCTTGGATGAAGTCTCCAGTTTGCATAACTCAGGCACAAGGGAGCAGGAGCCCTGGCATCTCAGCTGTCTTGAGACACAGACTGGGGTCTCCTCCTGTCCAAAGGGGCAGCCAGCACACTTCCAAGGCAGCCTCACGTCAGGACAGAGATGGAGAGTCGGCTGGGACAGGGGGTGCACACGCCTCCCCTCGTTACCACCCTCTCACCTGGACGACAGCCATAGCCTCCCACCTGGCTCCCCTGACCCCACCCCCCCCTGGAGCTCCACTGTCCTCAAGGGAGGTTTGGGTTTCTGAGCAGGGAAGCCATATGCCGAACCTGGGTGTTCGGCTGATGGCACAGGCCACAGATTGGCACCAAGGGACCAGGGCAGGCAGATCAGGAAGGAGCAGCTGTAGCGCCCAGTCGGGACACTGACGCCAGGGAAACCCTGTAATAAGTAGACTAGTCTGGTTACCCTTAGCTCCAAATCTGGCCTCCACCAGGCGACGCTGACTGTGGCAGCAACGCTTTCCAGTCTCCATTTCCAGCACAGAGAGGCTCCTCTCCCAAAGCCCTCCCTCCGTGGCAAGAGAGGGCTGGCAGGCACCAGCTGCTTTCATCAAGAACCAGGACAAATCAATCCAGCTGAGCTGCCTCCACGCTGGAACCACTGGGAAGTGAGGACTCTCCCCAGTTCCTGGGCCAGTGGTCCCTTCCCCGGAGAAGGTGGGAACTCCTGATCCCCACTCCCTGCTCCTGGGCAACGATGAACACTCTAGGAAGACCACAGAGCCGCAGCTTTCCTGGGCTCCAGGCCTGGTGGCCTTTAGAGACCACAGGGCAGTGGGAAAGGTCTCTTGAGCGTCCCAGGCCAGCAAGGTAGAGTGGGAAGCCTGTCCTGGTCGTCCAGACCGGGACCCACCCAGCACTCAGGCAGCTAGTCCTCTTTTGCTCATTGTGGCATATAAATATTCACGCATGAGTGTACATGCAGGTTTATACATTCACAAGGGACTGAGTGTACGCACCTTCCATTATGTCTGTTAACAATAATAGTGGTTAATTTTAATATATCACTTACATACACGGGACGGTCTAAGAGCTTTACGTCTATCTCATTCAGTCCTCAGAACAAGGTAGATTTTCATTATCCCTGCTTTATAGAAGAGGAATCTGACACATGGGGAGATACGTAGCATGCCCAAGGTCACAACAAGGATTGGGATTTGAACCTAGGTCATCTGAATCTAGGGACTTTGCTCCTGATCATGACCCTAATACCGCCTCCTTAAATAGGTGCTCAACAAAGGTTTGAGGAACTGAATTATGTGGAAAAAAGAGAAAAGAGAAAGAGAGGGAGTGAAATAAGTGCAGCTTTCATCTTGAGATCACCCCAGTCCCCAGTGCCTGGCATGCCCACGCCCTTAGTCAGTGTTTCCTGGATCAGCCTGTGTGTAATATCAGATAGTGCCTATGTGAGAAAGAGCAAGGAGGAGCGAGATTTGACTACCAGTGTTCCTCTGCTTATGCAAAGGGGCCGGGAGAGGAGGTGCAGTCAGATCATCTTTAATCTTTCCCACAGGCTTTTCCTGCTGCTAGCCACCCCTCCCCCACCTGAATCTGGTGGCTTGGACCTGGGACTGAGCAAGGAAACGCTGTGCGTGGTTCCCACTATTTCTCCAGGGACGAGTATTTCCCACAGCCCCAGGCCTCCCCACCTGCCAGAGTCAGGCCCTGTCACTTTGAGAGCTTTGCAAGATTGTCCCTGAGACACACTTCCTGGTGTTTCTGCTCAAACAGCGTTTGCTGCAAAGTATGCCAAAGCATTTGGGCTTCAGTTTTTGTTTCAGAGTATGCCAATGTTTTCATTTGGAAGAGGAAGTGTTTCTGTTGATGTGAAGAGATAAAATAAGACATTCTTCACCAAGTTACACTGACTGAAAGTCAAGAGCTTGGCTTGGGGGCAGGGATTCATCTTAGAATCCCCAGGGCCTGGCAGAAGAGCAGGGCTAACGTTTGTTGAATGACCCAATGAGTGAATATGCAAAAGGCCTAGAACCAGGTGTGGTATATGATCAATACTCAGTACAGGTTCTGAACAGACCCCATAGGTTCTATCTCCAAAAGGTGTTCTTGGTCTATGTGTGTTTCTCCACCTTCACTAACTTTGCCTCATCCAAGCCTGCATCACCTCTGGCCTGAGCAACTAACCAGCTCCTAACTGGCTTCCCTATTTCCACACTTGCCCCTACGGCTCATCTTGCCCACAACCGCCAGTCCTCTTTGCAAAATGTGGACTGGAATTGTGTCATTCCCCGCCTAAAACCTTCTAATGGCTTCCCATCGCTCGTGGCCGGGCCTCCCAGGTCCTGCATGATCTGGCCTTGCCCACCTCACTGACTTCTCCTGGGGCTGCTCTCCTGTCACACTGGCCTCCTTTCAGTTGCTGGAAGAACCAACTCTCTCCCCTGCCCCTCCCCCTCCACGTACTTGGCACTGCGGGTCCCTCTGCCTGGATAGATTTTCTCCACAACTTTTTTTTTTTTTTTTGCAGTACATGGGCCTCTCACTGTTGTGGCCTCTCCCATTGCGGAGCACAGGCTCTGGACGTGCAGGCTCAGCAGCCATGGCTCACGGGCCCAGGTGCTCCGCGGCATGTGGGATCTTCCTGGACTGGGGCACAAACCCGTGTCCCCTGCATCAGCAGGCGGACTCTCAACCACTGCGCTACCAGGAAAGCCCTTCTCCACATCTTTACATGTGGCTCCTTCCATCAATTTAGGGCTCAGCTCAAAGGTGTCCTTTCCTCAGAGAGGCCTTCTCTGAAGCCCCTGTCTGAAGCAGCCTATCTCTAGTCTTCTGTTTCACTTACCCAGGCATTTATTGAGCACCTACAAGATGCCAGGCGCTGTTCTAAGTGCCGAGGAAATAGTAATGAACACAATAGAGGATGCCATGCCTTCTTACATGCCTTCAGAGCTCTCAAAAAATCTCACTGCCTTGTTTGGGAACCTGCTTATCTTTCTCACAAAGTGCCAGGAGGGCTGGTGCTGAGTCTGTCTTGTTCACTGTGTTCACCCACCAAGCACATTAGGTACTCAGTAAATATCTGTTTAATAAAAGAACAAATTGATGGATGGATGGCAGGCAGGCAGGCCAACTGGTTAGGTATGCAGAGCAGCTGACACGTGCTCCACCTGGCACTTGGCCCTGGCTAAGGTCTCCCTGAGCTCAAATGAAGCTTTCTTCAAAGAAATCTCACTGTCAGCCCCTCAGGTTGACACTGCTAGTGGGTCCTGCCCACCTTGCATCACCCTCTGACTATGGTCATCTTGGCTAAGATAGGCAAGAAAAGGGGGGTAAACATAGCATGCTTGGGGTGAGTGACATTAGTGTCCATTTTCCAAAAGGAGCCCTTGTGACTTCCCTGGTGGTCCAGTGGTTAAGACTCCATGCTTCCACTGCAGGGGGCATGGGTTCGATCCCTGGTCAGGGAGCTAAGATCCCACATCCCACATGCTGGGCGGCCAAAAAAAAAAAAAGGTAAAAGGAGCCCCTGCCCACCACCTCAGTATCCCCCCACCACTGCCACTCAGGACCTGTGCCTAGAACCGTCCAGCTGAGGGGCTGAGCCGAGGAATTCCTTCCTGTCCCATGAACCCTCACCAGGCCCTCTCTCCTCTAGTCCAGCTGCCTCTCTTCCTTGCTGTGACTTTGGCCAAATCTTCCTCCTTTCTGGATCTTCATTTCCCTCCCGGAAACACACAAGGTGGAGCTGGATACAGCTTCCTGGTGGCAGCTCAGAGGCAGGACTTTAACAGCTCAGTGCAATGATCCTGTGGTCCCTTCTTCCGCTGGCCCAAGAGCCCCCTGAGTTTGCCTTGCAAACACTGCAGGCAAAGCCACCCAGGCACCAACCCCGCCACTGGCCTGGTCTGTGAAAGCAGCCTGCGAAACTGGCAGCCCCTGAAGATTGGAGCTGCTGGCACCCTGAAATCTGACTCCAAAACGGCAGCCAAGCCAATGCCAAAGGAAGTACAGGGTTCTGTGCTGACGGAAGTTTCTCCTCTCACAGCATCAGCCTGGAGCCCTTGCTCTCAGTCCCCACCCAGTCCCCAAGGGGCCACAGGACAAAGGTGATCAGTGCCTGGCTTCCTAGCTCTTTTAACACTGCAAGTCTTTATCCTTCCAGGACTAATGAGAATCCCCCAAAAGCCAAGGTCACCATCAAGACAGGTTAAGGATGGGGGGAGGAGTTGACAGTCTCAAATGTATCTGGGTGCAAAGGCTTTGACAGTTGGTACTACAGCTATTAACCAAGAAGCGACTTAGGTCCTGCCTCCCCTTCCTTCTTCAACAGCTGTCACCTTCGCTAAGGGGAAGCTTTCCTGCCCTAACTAAGGTCCTAAGAAGAGTCCAGCCATTCCTGGCATCCAAACAGACCTGGAAGAGGTGCATGGAGAAATCAGAAGCCTGGGGGAGGGGTGTGTGTCCGGCTTGGGATGCCCCCCTCCTCCTCGCCAGCGCCCCAACCCGCCCTCATCCTGTGCAGAAGGCACTTACAGGCCTCGGAGGCCGAAGAGGGCCTCGTCCTGGGAGTCCCATCCCTGGCCAGACGGTGCCCTCAAAACAGCAGCGGCGGCATGGTTCGTGCGCCGGTCCGGGCCGAGGGCTGAGGGTCGTGGGGAGAGCGGGGGACAGCAGCCAGGCCTACTCCAAGTAACCATCGAAGACGTCGAGCTCCGAGTCGGCATCGTAGAGACCCGAGCCGGGGTCGGAGAGCACGCCGAGGTCCACGAGCGCCTGGTCCATGTCCTCGGGCAGGAATACGAGGCCCACGTTGAGGACGATGTACTCCATGAGGAAGGCGTAGTATAGGATCAGCACATTGACGAAGAACAGGCCCACGTAGAACATAGAGGGCAGCAGGGGCGGCGGCACGGAAGAGACCAAGGGGCCCAGCGCGTCCAGGTGGGCCGCGACCCGGGCGCCGGGCATGCAGGGGGCGGCGAGGGCGGCGGCGGCCCGGCGATCCCAGCGAGCTCAGCCGCTGCGGCGCCCGGGCGGCCGGCGAGAGGGCAGCTCAGCCATCCAGGGGCGCCCGGGGGCTGGCCGAGGCAGCGCTGGGCCCCGGCAGTGCCCCCCCGGGGATGTGCGTCAGCCCCTGCGGAGGCGCCCCGGCCCCCGAAACGTGCCAGGAGGGTCACCCCACCCCCAGAGGTGCCCACACGGCACTGTCGATCCGCCCAACGGTCAGGAGAGCCCCTGAAGTGGCCGGCAGCGGCCCGGCTCCTCCGATACTCCCCGCTCCCGCTCACGGGCCCTCGCAGCGCCTGCGGGGGCCCCACCGCAGCTCAGCGTCAAGGGCCAGTCCCGGCGACGGTCTCTTCAGCCGCTCCCGGCCGTTCCCCGAGTCCCCTGCGCATCCCCGAAAGCCCAGCACCCATCGCTGCGACCGCCGCGTCGCCCTCCTGGTAGCGTTCCGAGCACCGCCTCCGGAGCAGCCCCGCGCTCATTGGCCCACCGCCCCCTGCCCTCGCTCATTGGCTCGCCCAACGTCCGAGCTCACTGGCCAAGAGTCAGAACACAATTCAAACCTAGACGTATCATATAAGGCTACAAAAGCTGAAGGTAACCGCGAGCTTCATCAGCACCCGGCTGGACTTGAGTACTGGCGTCACGCCTTTTTGGGACTCAGTTTACCTGCTGAAAAAGGGGGCGGGGGGGGCAGGGGCGGTGGACCTTACCTTGAAAATTTTGGCCTTTCCTAAAGTGGCAGTTTTCCACGGTGGGGAAGATCAATCAGTGCCCCCTTCATCTCTCCACATTCTGGCTGCTGGAAGGTCTGCCCCCTCGGCGGGGCGGGCCGGGGATTTTGGTAGATGGAAATCTGCCTAATAGGGTTCCGTGACACCTGAGTAAAGAAACTCCCGGCAGGTCAGACCTGCAGCACTAGGGTTGCTTCTTGTTTTTACTTTGTAAAACACGTTTTAAAACAATAATAGTGCACGTGGTTAAACATTCAAACAACCAAGAAGTACACAGAAAAGTGAGTCTCTTCCACTCGCTGATTCCCCTCCTCAGGGGTAACCCCTGTACGTCCTTCAGGAGACTGATTTTGCCCAAGGTGGCTCCCAAAGGAGTCCACAGACCTTTAAATCTTAGGCCACGCTGAGCTGGGTGCTCTACAGGCATTGCTTAATTGGAGCCAGTTGGGGAAGTGTATGTTACTCATTTTTGCAGATGAGGAAACTGAGGCCCAGAGAAACAGGAGGACCCTGGAAGCTGCTGGGCCTGTGTGTGTTTGGAGGCCAGAACCTGCCCTTTTTTCTCCATGACTGTCTCTTGCCCCTTTAGGTGAATTACACAGCAAACCATTAACTCTCCAACTGCTGAAGGTGAAACAAATCTTCATTCATTCATTTATTCACTCTGACAATATTTGTTGAACATTTATTATATGCCAAACCTTGTGCTAGGCACTGGGGAGAATATTGTGACCCTTAGCCCAATTCTGTCCTGGGCACAGTTAATGGGACACAGTAGACCTTAGATAACTGTGAGGTGTAGAAATGAATGAATGGATGAATGAATGGTGAACAGGGCAGTATCGCCTCCATGGAGCTTCCCACTCCCGATCCAGGAGAGAAATTTAGATACATCTTCTTGGCTGGTGTAGGAAGCTGTGTGTTTCCTTATTTTTATAAGTGTGGTTGTTTTGGAAATGGCATGGATTTTCGGCGAAGACCAGAGAAATCCTCTGAAAGCACAGGACATTCAGTTTTGGTACATTGTTGCTTGAAGGCCTTTCAATATTTATTTTTTAATTGAAGTAGAAAAAGAAAAAGGCTGTGAGGACAAACCAGGACGTTACCGGTTTTGTGAAGTTTCGTTTGTTGGGGAATAAAAATAAGGGTGCCTGGGTTTGAACCTTGGGTCTGCCGCTTATTAACTGTTTGACCTTGGGCAAGTCAATCCCTCTGTGATTCAGTTTCCTCCTGGGTAAAATGGGGATAATAGCAGTACCCACCTTACAGGGATGTTGTGAGAATTAAGGCTTAGCGATTTCAGGAATTTAGAGAGTGGGTGGATGAGGCCGAGAAGGGGAGGAGGGATATCTAAAGGAGGTTGGGCCTGCTGCCAGCATCCAGGTACCTGCGAGCTCTCACCTAACTCTGCCTGACTCTAGCCCTTTTAAATTACTTTAGTAATTATTGAATGCATGGGCAGCGCTTAGGGCAGTGGCACGCGGCATACGCCAAGCAACAGCTATTCTTATTCTTATCATAAAGGTATAATTGTTAATATTGTGGTAACTTTTATTCCCCAATCTTCACGGATTCATTTCTCAGGGCTCCGCCCATAGGTTTCCCATTCCCGCCTATCCCTAAGATACTGCGGACTGTCCTCCTCTCGCTCCGCCCCTTTTCCAAGGTCGCCGGCCTGAAGTTGCGTGATGCACTCCGGGCCTTGTAGTTCCTTCGGAGAGTCTTGTCAGCGGGGGCCTTGCGGGAGAACTGCATTTCCCAGCGTTCCTCGTGACGGCGCCGTAAAGCGCGGCGGTCGAAGGGCCGGTTCCGGCTGAATGTCAGTGCTGGACTGTGGGCCGGAGGGGAAGGTGGTTGGCGGTCTCTCCGGCACCTTCGCCGCTGCCTACTCTACTTGTGCCGCCGCCGCGGGCGCCCGGCCGCTCGGCCGCTTGGGCATGAGACCGTGAGGCAAGCGACTGGCCGGGGCCGTCGACATGTTTGGCCGCTCGCGGAGCTGGGTGGGCGGGGGCCATGGCAAGTCTTCCCGCAATATCCACTCCTTGGACCACCTCAAGTGAGTGTACTGGGGGCAGAAGGGGGAGGCCGCGGGGCTGGACTTGGGGATGGAGGCGCATAGCCCCTGGCCGGGGGCGCTGGGAAGTGTGAGAGCGGAGGCGGAGGGCCGAGAGAGGCGCTCGGGAAAGGCTGTGCGGCGGCTAAGCGCTAGGGCTCTGGACTTAGGGCGCCTGGGTTCGAACCCTGACCCCGTAGCTCCTCTCTGTGTGACCTTGGGCAAGTCGCTCCGCTTCTCAGAGTCTCAGTATCCCCATCTGTAAAGTAAGGGGATGAGATTTCGGTTTACGGATGCAGACTTCGTTCTTGCTGGGGCCGGACGATGGGCACCAAGCTTCCCCGGGGTGGTACTTCTTAGGCTGGACAGCTTACGGGTCAGAGGTCTGGATCCTGGAGTCAGACAGATGTGGGTTTGAACTTAAGTGGATGAATTAAGGCCTCAGTTTCCTCAGTTGTAAAATGGATATAGTGAGAGCACCTGCTTTCTACGATTGTTTTGAGGGTAGGGTCAGAGAATGTACGTAAAGCTGGAAGCTTCTACAAGTGCTTAATAAAGGACAATAATTAAAAAACAAACTAGTGGGCTTCCCTGGTGGCGCAGTGGTTGAGAGTCCGCCTGCCGATGCAGGGGACGCGGGTTCGTGCCCCGGTCCGGGAGGATCCCACGTGCCGCGGAGCGGCTGGGCCCGTGAGCCATGGCCGCTGAGCCTGTGCGTCCAGAGCCTGTGCTCCGCAACGGGAGAGGCCACAACAGTGAGAGGCCCGCGTACCGCAAAAAACAAACAAACAAACAAACAAATTAGTTTCTTAGGGGAGTCTAAAGCGTCAGAAGTAGAGCTCCGAGGGAGGCAGTGGCAAAGGTGGTCCTGGGAAGCAGGAGTACACAGAGTGGCTTTGCAGTCAGACTGGCATTCAAATCCTGCTTTCACCATTTAATGGCTTTGTGACCTTGGACAAATTGTTTCACCTCTCTGAGCCTCTGATTCCTCATCTGCAAATGGGGATGGTGAACATTGTGCAAAGATTCAGTAATATTGTGCGTGGAAAGAGATCGATCCAGTGTCTGTTATACAGTTGGTGGCCAATAATGGTAAGTGTTTATCAGCTGGGCAAGGCCTTACCAGACCACCCTACCTAAAGTGCCTCAATTCCTTTCTGTTAGATGTCATTCATTTGATTAATCTCCACTATCTGCAATTATCCTGTGTGTTTTGTTTTGTTTTGTTTTTTTACTGCTTTTCTGTTTGCTACTAAACTGGTACTTCCCGGAGGGCAGAGATGGCTTGTTTTGCTCAAAGCTGTATTCCCAGCATCTAGCTCTGAGCCTCGCACACAGTAGGAGCTCAATAGATACTTAAAGAATGAAAAAAATTAATGAATCGGGGAGAGGTGCAGAGCATGCAGGCAGAGCCTAGGATATTTTAGCGGGGTGGGGGGGCGGTGTGGAGGTGAAGGAATATAGAGACCTTTGAAGAGGGAATGACTTCAGGGAAGAAAATACAGTGTTGGGGGGTGGGGGGAGAGAGTGGGGGAGTAAGCAAACCTTTGGTGGTAAGAAATTGGCTGATTTCCAGAAGGAGCTCTCAGGATTACTAATGGGAAAGAAGGATGGAGAGGGCGGGCAGGGAACTGTAGGAGGAAGACAGGGGCCCCTGGAAAGTGTTGGTGGGAGGGAAGTTAGATGGGGGCTTCTCATTTGGCTGGGGGTAGGGGTGCTGTAATTCTCAGCTGTGTCCTTTCTAGCATGGAGCAGGTGTTTAATAAATGTTTGTGGGTCTCAAAGAGTGGGCGGCAGGAGGGATCATTATGTAATAAGGAATGGTTTTGGGGAATAAAAATAAGGGTGCCTGGGTTTGAACCTTGGGTCTGCCGCTTATTAACTGTTTGACCTTGGGCAAGTCAATCCCTCTGTGATTCAGTTTCCTCCTGGGTAAAATGGGGATAATAGCAGTACCCACCTTACAGGGATGTTGTGAGAATTAAGGCTTAGCGATTTCAGGAATTTAGAGAGTGGGTGGATGAGGCCGAGAAGGGGAGGAGGGATATCTAAAGGAGGTTGGGCCTGCTGCCAGCATCCAGGTACCTGCGAGCTCTCACCTAACTCTGCCTGACTCTAGCCCTTTTAAATTACTTTAGTAATTATTGAATGCATTTTCGGTGCCAGGTGCTTGTTAAGGAATTCCTGTGTGTTATTTCCTTTAGTCCTCACAAGTCTTAGGAGTTGTCAGAAATATTATTGTTTCCATTTTTTAGACTGGAAATTAAGATCCAAAGAGGTTCAGTCACTTGCCCAAGGTGACAAC